GAACGCAGCTCTTTAAGCACTTCTGTGGCAAAAGTGTTTGTTGCATTCCAGGCAGCTTCTGAAGACAGAATTGCTTCTACGATTGATTCTGGTTGAATTGTCTTCTTCAGGATCTTCTTCAGCTCCTCACGTTGTTGATTGAAATGCGAGCACTCGAAAAAAACGTGCTCTGCGTCTTCAGTGGCTCCAGGGCATGACGGGCACTCCGGAGAGTCGTCATGCCTAAAGCGGTGAAGATAAGCCTGAAAGCAGCCATGTCCTGACAACATCTGTGTTAGGTAGTAGTTGACCTCACCGTGATTCCGGTTCAGCCAAATGTCGATCTTTGGTATGAGACGATGCGTCCATCTACCCTTCTCTGCGGCATCCCACTGAGATTGCCATCGTGCGATGCTGTGGAGACGCGCCTGGTAGCAGTTCCTCCTCTGCCGCAGGCGTGTGTGTGTGTGTGTGTGTGTGTGTGTGTGTGTGTGTGTGTGTGTATGTGTGTGTGTGTGTGTGTGTGTGTGTGTGTGAATCGCTTATAACTTTTGAACGGTTGAACCGATTTCATCGCAGTTGGTGCCATTCGAAAGGGCTTCGCCAAACTTAGATTTCCAGAGAATTTGAACCGATTCGGACCGATGGATTTTAAGAAATTTAGAAAAATCTAAAAAAAAATAAGAAAAAAAACATTTTTGAAAGTGGTTTTTTTTTAATATCTTTTAAACGGCTCGATCGATCAACTTCAAAAACTAATCCGCCCTTAGGCTTGAAAAACCACGCCGATCGGCGCTAATCCGGTCAAAATCGGTTGATTCGTTTGAGAGATAGCGTGAACGAAAGAAAACCGAAAAAAACCGAAAAAAGTGTTTTTTTCACATAACTTCGTCATTCCTTTTCGGATCGTTTATGATGACATAAAATAATTTTTAGAGCTCAAAAAACCGCGTTGATTGCCGCCAAGAACGTAATAATCGGTTGATTGGTTCGAGAGATATCCTCGACGAAATATTTGGAAATAAGGATTTTTTCAACATAACTCCGACATTTTTTGGAAAAACTTTCAAACAGCTCTACCGATCGATTCCAAAAACTAATCAGCTCTTAACATCAAAAAATCACGTCGATTGCCACCAAACTGGTCAAAATCGGTTGATTCGTTCGAGAGATATCGTGAACGAAAGAAAACCGAAAAAAGTATTTTTTCGGGATTACTCCGAAATTTTCGGTTCGATCAATTGAAACCTGAAAATCACTTATGAGGATGATAAAACTCCGTCGAATGGCGCCAACCGCGTGAAAATTGGTTGATCCATTCAAAAGTTATTGCGGTTTGAAAATTCCAAAAATACCCGAGTCAAAATATAAATTCCAATTTGAGCCTCAAAATCCTCAGTGAGGTTTTTGAGGGCAAATTTGGAATTTCAAGATAGATTTCAATATGGAAAG